AAATACACTTTCCCTGGTGTAATAGGGGCAATTGATTGTTGTCATGTAGCAATTGTATCACCATCTGTAGAGGATATCAATTATCCAGAACATATATATGTTAATAGAAAAGGATATCACTCTCTTAATGTTCAATTGGTAAATATTGCATTACTTATCTAACAAAATATATCTAGCAATTAAAAAGTTACTTTTAATATTTATTGTATTGTTATATCAAATTAATAATTCATTGCTGAAAATGAATTATGCTATGAGCATATGCAATAAGGAATCAACCAACATTTTTTATTTTGATTCAGAATATCACAAAATATCATCTTACAAGAAAATGCTGGTTGATTCCTTATTGCATATGTGGATCCAATATTGATATGCATTTAATTTTATGATACACTAAGAACATTTATATAGAATTAATACATAATCTCATTCAATATACTTTTTTTCAGATATGTGATGCAAACATGTACATAATGAATGTAAATGCTCGTTTTCCTGGTAGTGTCCATGATGCATTTATATGGAAAAATTCCAATGTTAGAAAAGCCTTTCAGAGATGGCATAACTGCAACAGAAATGCACATACTTGGCTTTTAGGTAATGATAAATATATTATCATAGTTGTTAACAAGTCTCTGTTTAAATTTCCAGATACTTTATAATTTGTAGGCAGTATTTACAAATCATAATTAGCTTATCAAATTACGTATTGTATTTTCTAGGTGACAGTGGATACCCTTTGGAGCCGTGGTTGTTGACTCCACTTCGTACAACCAATACTCGAGCTGAAGTAAAATATAATAATTGTCTCACTGCAACTCGAAGTATAATAGAACAATGTAATGGACTCTTGAAAAATAGATGGAGATGTTTGTTGAAACATAGGGTCTTACACTATCATCCAGAGACAGCTTCAAATGTTATAATTGCATGTGTTGTGCTTCACAACATTTCCATTAAAAATAATATTGCTTTGGAGGATGATGATATATTGCAACCAGAAGACCAGTTACCGCAGATCATACCATCAACAGAATTTGAAAATACATCAAATGATATACTTTTTAATGAAACTAGAAGGATTCAACAACAACTAATAAGCTTGTGTTTTTCTTAAAAATAATTTTAATGATATATATATCATTAAAAAATTGTATGTATATATTGGATATACTAATAAATTGTGTGTGTATATATATATACATGTCTGTTAAGAGCCTGCCTTTTTCAAGAATATTCAGATATAAAGAACAGAAAAATCAGTACTTTAAAATAATAATTTATTTATTTTCAAATTAAATTTTTTTTCAATATATACATAAAAATATTACAAAGAATTTTCAGATAATAAATTTACAATGCTATTCAGTGCTGTAGCAATTTTTTTAAGAGAGTCTTTATTTTCCTCAGCTATGGAAAGTTCCTTCTCCCTTAATTCTAGTTTTTTTTTCTTTAATTTAATTTTTTCTTCTTCCAGTTGTATAAATGATTCTGTTCTTTTCTTTGCTTCATTTAAATCATCTTCATTGGAATTGTTTTTTCTTTTTCTTCCTTTAGCTAAAAAACATAAATTCATATGGAAAACTTAGTCTTTGTACATGCTAACTATAAAATTAATTCTTTTACACTAAATCTTATAACTTTGTATATTAATATGACTTAATACTACATATGCAGTTCTTTTATGACAGATTCTATAAATTCAGTTCTTATAATTAATGCTACAGTTGCTTTAATGAAGTAATTTGAAAATATTTTAAAAATTTACTTACACTGACTGGCTTCTTTTGTTAAATCTATATATTCATTATCTGTTAGATAAATTGAAAACATTTGAAAACCATAACAAATTTTTGTTATAATTATTTTGTATATGAGATTATTTTGATGCATACTAACCCTGTTCAGAAGAAGAAATATCTACAGAATTTACTCCTGTTGCAGAGAGATTTTCAATTCCTGGCAGTATAGATTCCTATTATAATAAATTACATTTTTAAAATATAAACAGAGATATTAATAGTACTGATGGAAATTTCAAAACTTATTATTAATACTCTCCATTATATACAGAAAAATAATGGAAGTATAACATTTTTTAAAACACGTTAGTCTTTATTCATTTTAAATTTAAAGATTATTATTCACCTCAGTCTGCAATAGATTTGAAAACTCTTCAACTTCGGATTCCACAGTGTTTTGTTGCCCCAAAACCACTGTGTCACCCATTAAAGATATGATCCTTTCTTGTAATGAAGATAGCTTTTCACTAGATTCTCTACCACCCCCAGTCTTTTCTCTGCTGTTTCTTATTCTTGACGCCTTCTCTTTTGCATTTCTCTTCATGTCGAGCCAGCACTAATAAAAAAATTTTATTTGATAAAATTATACAGCAAATTTTTCCAAAACTAAAAAGAAGTATAATTCATAGAAAAAGAGAATGAATTAAAATGATAGTAAATTATATGTATAAATTATTAAGAGCATAGACACTACATTAAGATTATTTATTAATCAGAAGTGTTAAGTTGAACAATTTAAGAAACAGATCAAGGAAGAAAACTGAAGAAAGGATTAAATTAAAATACTTACTTTTTTCCATTCCACAACGGAATTTTTTGCTCCAAAGCACGCATTTAATTTTTCAACTAACTCTTTCGACATATCTAATTGTTTTTTCCTAGTAAACTCGTTGTCAAATTTTCCAGAGTTCATTTTCTTGTTGTTTTCAATATATGTGACTAATGCTTCTTTCTGTTTGTCACTGATCTTTTTAAATAAAGCATTGGAAATCTCCATTTTTTTTAATCGCTATAACAAAAGTAACTGCTACACGTGCAAACTAATTCAAGTGGATTTGTTTACAACTTGTTACAGTTAAGTTGATTAGTCGAATCATTATAGTCGCAAACCCAGATGCATTGTAAATAATCCCATACGTAACCAAGTGAGTATGACGTATTTCCTCTCGCTTTTCGAGTTCGCTCGGGTCTAATTCGAGACTACCGATTATGTGAGTCATAGTAACACGAGTGAGTTCGATGACTTCAATTCGAGTACAACACGAAAAACTGTAGACTAAGGCCCCAGGCATGAGAACTTAACAGATGTTTTGCTCCCAGGTGTACAAGTTGACGGTTATTTAACGAGATTATAGGTATGCTGTGATGTTATGAGAAGGATATAAATATACTGAAAGTCTGAATTCGGATCCTCACAAAAGTAATTATTTTAATATAAAAATTCTGAATTTCATACAATTAATTATAAACTTACCTTTTGCAATAAGTCATCAATATTGTGTTTGGCATCATCCGGTAGTTGATCAGGATATGACGCATGCACATTTAGAGCAGTTGCTAATACATTTTTATAATAATTATTATTAATAAATCAAAAATAATGATACATTACCTTTATTCTGACGAAACGTACAGTACATTATATTCACATTGTTAAGGTTCAGAACTTCTTTAACATAAATCTACAAGTGTTTTTTTAAATAATGCCTCGTAGCCAACACCCCACCAATCACAGTAATAATGTACTGTACAACTATGTACCATTTTGCAAAATGTTTTAATAAATATCAATCAAATTTGAAAATACCAATATTAATAATGGCTCCTGCTGAAAAATTTCAGGACAAAGGAATCACAATGTCATAAAAACTTCGTTTGAATTTTTTTCATACCGAAGAAAAATGAAATACTGAATACGTGATTAAAACATTACAGTTTAAGAAAAATTAAAATATTTAGTTGCTGTGGGCAGACCAAAATCGATCACTTGTACACCTTATATGTACTGTACTGTGAGATAAGCAGTGGGTCAGGGGTTAATCTGGTACTGACTACTTAATCTGCACATGCTGGTAAAGCCCGATTTCGGAGTCGTTCGGATGGCTAGGAGAGCCAATCGAGTGGGGAGTGCGTCGGTAAGTGGACAGGTTTCCTCGGATAGACAGGAGACAGAGGTTTAACAAATAACAAAATAAAGGTTTATTCTATAACTAAAGTTAATTTACAGGAGTATACGTAAAAACGTTACAGACTTAATGCTTAAATGTGGATAACACAAATCTATGATAGCGATCTAACTATTCACTATTCCGCGTGAGAGAGTTTACGAAAGCTCTAGAGTGAGAGAGTTATATTGGCGGTCAATTATACCTTATGTTGGAGGACGGTATGCGACGATCATCCTGGACTATGGAAGCTGGCTGTCTGTCACAAGCTACCGGCTTCTCGTCGGACAGGATCGAAACGGGAGACACTGGTAATCAGACCTTCCTGATGATCGCGCGGAGGGACGATCGCACTGAGGGGACTATCCGCCCTCCGTGACGATCGTTTTTATACGATCGTCGTTGGCACTGAGCCAACAGGTCGTTTGTGGGTATTTGTGTGTAGCCTGAGGTAGGACGAAGTTGTATATCTTTTTGATAGGCAACAGTTTTGTGAGAACTGCCCATTGGTCAGTGGATGGCTTGTTTATGGGTTTTTCCTATCCCGGAAAGTCAGGATTCTTTTGTCAGGTCGAGTGGAGATGAGAGGGGGTCGTCGGTAAGGTGTGAGCGATACTCGAAGTAAAGACGACTTTTAACAACAAAACAAACATTTATTTAGACAACATAGTATCCCAACATACAGGAATTAACTTTATTCGCGCGTAATTCGAAGTGATCGCGCCGAGAGAGAGTTTACAATATTTGGTCATACCTCCGGTTTATTCGAATTCGTTTCCTAGGATTCGCTTCTATAAGGTCTGGAACGTCTCCCCGGGGCGAGGTAAGGCGTGGACGACTTGGCTCGTGTTAGGCGACGTCGACTCCCCCTGTCGGTTCTCACCTCTCGTTTATACCCTCGGGTCTCGTGGTCGTTTTTCACCAATCACAGAATTTTTTGGATAGGTCCGGGTGATTCAGTTGCGGGTTCCGTTGGGAAAGGAAGTTACTCCGGGGGCGGAAAGATGAACATCCTCCCTCGGAAAATTTCGAAAAAAAAACGAAAAGGAAAAATGGAGTGTTTCTTTGTTAAAATTACTTTATAGTTAACTAGCTTACCCGTCGCGCATTGCTGCGATCTCAGAAGAGATGAAATTCAAGCAAACTCGTTATAATAAAATTAAATTTTCATTTTATCATTTTTANTTTTTACTTTATTACATTGTTTACATCGTTATTGTATTAGTTTATTTAGTATATTTTGTTATATTATATTATTTATTTGTTAATTTATCTAGTATTTTGTTTTAAATTTAAACGTAAGTGTTCAAACGTCTGACGTTTAAATGTTAAGTTAATAATACGTTCAAATTTCAGTGCATTTGAAGATGGCCTATCGTCCGAGAGGATAAAGTGACAGTTTATAGCCTATTGCTTTTGAAGACCCAAGATCAAATCTGGATATACATTATACATTATCAGTGCAGCATGGTCCATGAAGCCCCTGTTCCATTAAATACCAATGAACCATCCAATCAACCAAACGAATCTAAATGGTCAAAGTGTGAGAACTGACGGGGTAGAGCGCCGAGCTTTTCTCACTTATTCGCTTCTTTGTCAGGGATGGTCGATGTGTTAACGAATAGTAGAGTGAGCGAGATCGTGACGAGGTGTCGGTCGTACTCAAGGATGACACATAATCATATATATAAGAATAACATATTTAATTACCTAAACCTATACAAACGAGTACAAATCAAAAGGCTAATAAAAGGGAATAATCCAAAAATATTTTTATATCGCGACAAAGAATATACGGTCGTTGATAAGTTGTCTAATATCTAGCCTGTATAAGTCACAATATCGTCTAAGTTTAACTAGCTTAAGTTCAATTTATAACAGAGAGAGAGGGTCAAAATTTGCCTACATGTCACGGCTTCCGCTTTCCTAGTATGGGTCGTCTTTGGAACGCTTCCGGATCGGCGGTCCTCTCCTTCAATCAGGTCAGGTTCATCGCGAGACAGACGGCGATTATGGCGGGAAGGCAACGGTGACGATAGACGGAATGGCGGTATGAGTCTGGTGTCTCTTATGTCCGCTGTTGATGTCTGCGCGGAGGACTGTGTCCAAGCCCTTTTTATATACGTCCCGGAAGGGCTGACTAATAAAATAACTGATGCAACTTCATCTAAGGTTGAATTGCAACCAGGATGTGTTTGTTACTTGTCGAAACTCGAAACCTTTCTATGGATTTATTATCTCTTCTATCCGGTATTGTCACTTCTTCCAACTCATAAACAGTTGTCAAACTAACGGGTTTAATTGCTGGAGATGATTAAGGTTAGGATATGTAGTGCAGCCTGGGTGATTATTGTTCAATTGGTCTACCCTTGTCGGTGACCTTTTTGTTACCTTCAATCGTGTAACAAGTTGAGGTTCTTATTAATTGGCTACTTGTTTGTACTGCACATCGAAGTAAAGGTGAAAATAAATAATCTCCTGTTGTGAGGGGAGAACTTTATCTGTCGTCCTAAACGTCTTTGAAAGTCTAGGTCACCTTTCAAAGTGATGCCGTAAACTGATGGGTCAAAGGTCTAGCTTCAACCACCAAAAAAAAAAAAAAAACGAAACTGGAGGAAGAAGGAAAATAATAAAAATTTATGTTTTGAGTTTAAAACTCACAAAAGTCTTAAGGATTATTTCTGGGTGGTATGTTAGGATAAGTTACACACGTTCTTTACCAACCTGCCACTCTATTGTGGGTCTGGCCAAATTTATTATGGACTCTCTAAAAAGGATCCTTTTAGTGCCAGACCCACCAGTGGGCAAGCAGTTTTATTCCCTGAACACTGGGAGTTTGGTCATGGGTTAGCCCCTCACTCGGACGGATTGGCCACGTTAAGTTTTTTGGGTTTTCTCCATGTCTGTAATGCCTGAAAATGGGACAGTTACTCTTAAGACTTCGGAAGGCATCTCCCTAGGCAGATCACTCAGTGTTGCGTTGCTGTAATTTAATAAACAAACAAACTTTTAGTGCCCATAGAATTAGAGGAATTTTAAAGAAATTTTACCGAACATATTAATTCATTAAGTTTATTATCTTCTTTACTTTCCCGTGTAAATTGTTTACTTGTTATAATGGCGTGTTTACGAAAAGTATAATAACTTACCCACTCATTAATTACGAAATATCACGATAGAAATTCATCTTGCTTTAATGGCGGTATATAGGAAATTAATTTCGTAAAAATATTTATCTTAGAAATAAATATTTATCAAACTTACCGAAATATGACAGTAATTAAGGTAAAATAACCGAAAAACAGGTTAGTTGCGAATATCATTCAGTCATAAAGACTAATTGTAGCAAGTAAGAATTTTTATTAGACTATTCCAAAATAGTTTGAAATTAACGCAGCCCACTTATTTCAAGTTGCATGTTCAAATCACACTGATCTTTACTACAGAATTTATATATTGAAGTTCAATGATTCAACAACAAGAATTTGTAACTTTCTATCAC